ATTTGTGCACAGACGGAGGGCGGCGTTCTGTTGGACCTGCAGTCTCCGCCGCTGTGAGGCCGAGCACAGTGCGTACCATGCGGGGGCGGCATATGTGAGCCGCGAACGAATGTAGGTCTTATAAATGCCTACTTTCGTCCGCAGCTGCAGCCTGGATTGCAAGACCGGTCGCAGCATAGCGCGCGCAGCCTTGGCTTGGGTAACAGCCCGGTCCACCTGCGGCGTCATACGCAGCGACCGGTCGATTTCCACCCCTAGGTAACGCACTGTGCGCTCCCACTGGATGGGCTGGCCTCTCAGTAAGAGGGGCGGCGGGCATTTGCACCCGGGGCGGGTAAGCAGCGCCACCGTTTTACCCACGTTAACGGTGGTACGCCACTTATCCAGCCACTCGGGGAGCAGGTCCAACAGCCGCTGCATTTTGCGAGCGGCTGCGTAGGCTCGGCGAGACGACGTAAGAAAGGCACTGTCGTCGGCGAAAAGAGCGAGGACGACATCCCTCTCTCCCTCTCGGAGCTCATCCCTCAAGGTGGGGATGTCGTCTGTGTACGTCGCGTAGAGCGCTGGCGAAATGCAGCTGCCCTGCGGGACTCCGGCGGCAATTGGGCGTGTGGTAGAATCACAGTTCTCGACCGAAACATAGAAGCTCCGGCCCGAGAGGAACGAGTCCACTACTCGCACGTATGCTGACGGCGTGTTGGTGTCGAGCAACTTCGACACCAAACCGTCGTGCCACACACGGTCGAACGCCTTCTCTATATCGAGAAATACGCCGACCGCGTAGTGGCCGCGGTTGTGCTCGACAGCCATATGGTGGAGCACGCGCGTCAGCTGCAAAGTCGTCGAGTGTCCGCCTCTGAAACCGAACTGCTCGTCGCGAGGCGACAGAGTCGGTCTCAGGCGGCGGAGCAGGAGGCGCTCGAACGACTTTGCTACGTGCGAGAGCAGAGTGATGGGCCGGTAGCTTGCCGGCAGGCGCTTGTCCTTGCCGGGTTTCGGGAGGACTATGACTCTACCCAACTTCCAGTTGGTAGGGAAGTGGCCGGTCCGGAGTATGCCGTTGTAGAGCCTCGCTAGACACGCTAGGGCTCTACGGGGCAGCTGTGCGAGCGCTGCGGTGCTGATCCCGTCCGCTCCGGGCGCTTCGGCAGGCGGCTGACGAGCCGCCTTACCTCGCCGGGCGAAACGAAGCTCACTTCGTTTACGTCCGGCGACGGAGCGGTACGGAAATCGCATACGCGACGTACGACTCGCTCGTGGTGCTCGACGACAGTGCTGGGTGCGTCGGCGGCGATTGGATTGGCCGTGAATTGCCCCTCCAAGTGCTGTGCCAGGATTTCTGCCCGGTCTTGGGCTGCGTAACGACGTCTGCCCGTCTCGTCAAGCAACGGGCAGACGGGGGATCGTGCATTGGTGAGCTGTCGATTGAGTTTGTGCAGGTCGGTATCGTGTTCGCCGGCCCGGGATATGACACCCTCCCAGGCGGCTCCACGCCAATCCCGCACTCCCTCCGACAGCTCTGCAGCCAGGCAGTTGAGCTCACGCTTGACCCGCGGGCAGCGGGTTCGGGCCCATAGGCGACGGAGGTTCTTTTTCCGGGCGAGTTTTTCGCGCAGATGGTGTGGCAATTCCTCTCGACGGCGAGAAGCCACGTTTATTGTGGTAGTTGCCGCCTCTACGGCGGTGCGAATTCGCTCCGTTAGGAGTGTAGAGGCGGCTTCGACACCCGCTGGCGATGATAGTTCGCCGTCGAGGTGTAGATGCTCCAATTCTGCGCGAAAAACACGCCAATCCATCCGCCGCCTCGACGGTCTCGTCGGTGTGGTGGTGGTGGAGAGGTCAAGCGTGGCTAGAACTGGGAGGTGCTGCGTGTCAAGGTCGTACAGCACCTCCAGTAAGACCGGGCAAGGCACAGCCTGCACTAGGGCAATGTCCAGAACGTCTGGGCTATGTGTGGGATTTGAGGGTACGTGGGTTGGGTGCGCTGGGCCCAACACCTCGTACCCGTGGATCTGCGAATCCTGGAGGAGTCTTCGACCTATCGGCGAGCACAGACGGGAACCCCAAGCCGTGTGCTTCGCGTTTAGGTCGCCCATAAGCAGGGTGGGACTCCTCCCATCCAGAACGTTCCGGACATCGGAGGGGCTGAATTCCAGTCCCGGGGGACGGTAAGCTGCCAGGACCTTCAGTTCCGCGCCGTCGACGTTGATGCTGACTCCTATGGAGCGCATGACGCGGAACTCGGGGCGCTCTAACTCCACGTGGACCACGTCCCGACGGACTAGTACCGCCGTACCGCGGTACGCAATGCCCGCCGGTGACGTTTCGTCGCGTCTATACACGTGGTAGTTAGGCACCCTCAACGTCTCCTTTTCTGTGAGCTTCGTTTCACCCAGGAGTATGATGTGTACATCCTGGGTGCGAGCTAGGAGACGGAGGTCCTGGACTTTATCCTTTATTCCCCCGGGGTTCCAGTACACAATGCGCAGGCTAGTACCCGCCATTTGTGTACTGTTGGATTTTGGCCAATCCATTTAATGCCGCCGACTTTGTGTCCGCGCCGGCCGCGAGCGTAGTTAGCAGCTCCGTCAACAGGCTAATAAGCATGTTCAGTGCTCTGTCGACGGGCGCTTGTGTGAAGGGCGCGGGCGCGGCGTGTGCCGAACGCGGCGCGGGGTATGCGGTGTATGTGGGAGGCGCGGGAGGTGCGCGTCTTACGTCCGCCAAAAGCGGCTTGAATGCCACTCTCGGCACAGTGTGTGCCGGTGGCGCCGCCTGGCGGCGACGTGGCGCTGCACGCGGGCCCTGATTTGGGACGGCATGCATGGGAAGGGAGGGGGGTGCGTTGTACGCAAATATTGGGGTGGGATCAGGTAGGAAGGGGATTGGGGTTGATGCCGTCACGGGGTCATCTCCGCGCCTCTTCTTGCCGCGTCTTCGGCGGCGGCGCTTTTTAATTGCACCGGCGTCGGCGCCTCGTTGCGTCGGTTCGTTAGCCGGCGCCATTAGGTTGGCGCCAGCGGTTTCCTCGACCGTTATTACGGGAGGGGGAGCCTGGGCGACGTATGTACGAGGCGCCGCGGTGGGATTATTGCGCCGCCGTTGCTGCGCCTTGGGCGCCGTCGACGACGCAGTGGGGACGGGGGGACGGGGCTTGATTCCCCTCTGCCGGGCCTCTCTTTTATACACCGGGCACTTCCGGTCGTTGGCGGTGTGAGGTTTTGCGCAGTTGGCACATGTCGGCTTTTGGTCACGCGGCCTGTCGCAGTTCGCCGCCGGGTGCTCCCCACCACAGCGAACGCATTTTACAGGCCGGTGACAGTTGGCCGATGCATGGCCGAATGCCTGGCATCTGTGGCATTGTGGCAGCACCGATGCCGGCTTCCACGCCTCAACTACGACGCCCCGCATGTACAGGAGCTCGTCAGTCGCGTACAAGCGTGTGAGCTCGTCCCTGTCCATGGGGTCGAGTTGGGCGTGGAAAATGCAGCCGGGGCGGCCGCGACGCGCGGGTATGCCCCGCACTAGCCGCACTCCGAACCCCTTCTCCTGCAGTGCCTCCACTATCCTCTCATTGGGAGTGTCGGCGGGGAGGCCCCGTATCGCCACCTTGGTGGGCAGTTCGGAGGCCAGGCTATAAAAGTACCAACTTATTGTTGGGTCCTTTTCGCTGGCCTCTATCAAATACCTTTGGACGGCACGGAATTCTTCGTCCGTCCTAGGCAGGAATCTAACCCCAGTGCCGTAGGGTCTTGCGTTGGGTGCCTCCCCCAGTACGCGCCTGAGCTGGTCGAAGTGGCGCGTCCAGTTAGGGAGGCGTTCTACCACTATTGGGGGGTATTTGCCTCGCCCTGTGGCGGGTTCTACGCCCGTGTCGGCGATCTTACCCTGTGAGGGCATTTGCGGGGCTGGAGCCGTGGTGGCGGGGGTTGGGGTGGCGGGGCCTGCCACTACTGCCGCAAAGGACGGCGGGGTTCGTCGTCGCGGCGAGGGGACGGGGGGGAGCATCGGCTCGGGCGATTGTGGCACCGATTCGAGTGCCGCATATGACGTGGCGTCATACTCGCCCCTATCTAGCGTATAGGAGCGAGGTAGCGGCGAGGGCACACGCGAGGGTGCTGGCGAAGGCTCAGGCGAGGTCGCAGGCGACGTATGTACGTCGCCGTAAAAACGCCTGTCTTCCCTTCCTCCTCGCTCCCGCTATCCGGCGGGGGAGGGTGAGCGCGGAGGGGGTGAGGGCTTTCGCCGCACGGTACCCGACTGGGACGGTAGGGGTTGGTAGCCCTTGTCCACAAGCCGGATTCTCGGCGTCGGCGGCACCTTCACTAGGTCAAGGTCGCGGGGGGGGACTCCTCTACGTCCCTCCGTTTGTCGCCTCTAGCGGGCGAGGTCGGCGACGGCGGTGCGCGTCTTTTAGATGGGCCAGGTTGCGCGCATCTTTCCCCTCTGCCTGGTTCCCGGTCGGCGGCATCATTGCCGCTTCCCGCGAGGGCAGAGGGGGTGCCCTTGGATGCCGGGCGAGCGTGGAAGGTCCCCAGCTCAGTGGCGGGGACCAGCTTGGTCGGGTTCCTTAAATCCCGACGCACAACAGTTCGGGGAGCTCCCCTGTCAGGAGGTTTCCTGGGGGCTTTGCCCCTTTGCGACATCACGACACGAAAGGGTGATGTACTAGGAAAGGGGACTGGAGGGGTGGAAGAGGGTGGTGTGGGGGCTGGAACCCCACGACGAACCTACCGAAAAGTAGGGAATTCCGCCCTGAAAGGGCAGGAGATCGCACTGTAAGACAGTCGCAAGTGGATTGCAGCGACGAATTTGCACCAACAAATTCGGTCTGCAATCCTAGCGCGTTCTCTTGCTAAACAAAGTACACTTTGTGTAGTTGGATTACGCACTGTATCGCTCTCAACAATTTGCGCAAGTGGGCACCAGTTGCGGGGCTCACTCTGGAGACTCGACGGCGAACCGGAATCTCACAGAGGATCACACGACCAACGGTAGACTCAACAAGCAACAAATTGGAAAGCGAGAGTGGGAGGCAGGAACACGACTTTGATTTGAGGATCAATATCGGCAATACGCACAGGATGGCCGGGAGCATTGTCCAAAATAAGTAAAGCTTTATAAGCCAAATTATTGTTTGAACAGTACTGTTTCACTTCAGGTATAAAATGCTTAGTAAACCATTCTTCAAAAAGTATTGATGTAACCCATGCCTTTGGATTAGCCTTCCATATAACTGGAAGAGTACTCTTGACGTAATTTTTGAGAGCTCGAGGATTTTCAGACCTATAAACTAAAAGGGGTTTCAATTTAAAATCACCTTCAACATTCGAACCCAATAACAACGTCAAACGATCTTTAGCCGCTTTAAATCCAGGCATAGACTTTTCTTCCTGTGATATAAAAGTACGAGAGGGCATTTTTTTCCAAAACAAACCAGTTTCGTCCACGTTAAAAATTTGTTTAGGCGAATAGTCTCCACTTTCGATAATTTCCTTTAATATTCCAGGAAAACTCTGAGCAGCCACATGATCGGCACTAGCAGCTTCTCCTTGCACTCGAATGTTATGTAACGAATATCTCGTTTTAAAGCGCATGAACCATCCGCGACTGGCAGAAAAACATTTTGTTTCGTCACTATTATTCTCGCCACGTTTATTTTGCAGTGTGTTGATGATACTCAGCGCCTTATTTTGTATAATAGCCAAACTTAGAGGAACCCGTCGCTGAGTTTGATCTTGAATCCAATTGTACAACAGTTTTTCCATTTCATAAATTAAAGCATTCCTTTTGCGTATAATAGTGCTGTTTGAAGAGACGGAAGGAAGAGCTGTTAAGAGTTTTTCTTTATCTTTCAATATTGTTTGTACCGTCGTGCGTGATAAATTAAGTTCTCGTCCAATAGATGAAGTCGAATAACCGCGATCTTTGAGTTTTAAAATCTTAGATTTAACCTCCATTGTAATTGACTTTCTTACTCTCTTCTTCACTTTATTATTACTGTCTTGTTTAGGTGGCATTGTTTAAAATTCACTTAAATATGTATGTAAACACAAAAACTGTCAAAGATGCAAAAAAACTAATTTATTACGTCTTGATTGTCCGTTGTCCCTGAATGTACTAAACAAAATCAGCGACATTTGCGGGGTATTCCCCGCACGAGACGACACCGCGCCCCGCCCGCGCCCCTCACGGACATTGACCTTGCGACAAGTGAATTCTCCGATATGCCGGAAATCGAAACAAATGACGTATGCTTGAGGAATAGTGTCAAAACATTGTTTGACGTAACTTGAAACGACGTAAATCGAAACGACGTAAGTCGAGGACCGCCTGTATAGAAAATAAGATAAGACAGGACTTAATGTGCAGCTGACGGTGTCAGCGGGGGCTTCCCTGCCGGGGAGTGAGTGCCTATTGATATGTGACCCTAATATGTAAGATCACTAATCTTATTGAGTGAAAAATGTGTACCTAAGCGAACCTACTTGGTGGCGTCGGCGGCGGGCGGCAGGCAGCAGGCGTCGGCGGGTGTTGGTGGCAGCGGCGGCGGCTCGGATCGGCGCGTCGAGCAATAGGCGTGACGCACCTCCCTAACTCACGACAGTCCGTGCCACTGAACGTCCACACACAACACTTCACTTGAACGAAGAGAGTTCCTCCTTCAGTCCTCACAACACAACACTACACACGCGGAAAGTCCGGTAGCACTGTGTCGGAACGGATGCCGAGAGCGCGGTCGGCCGCGATCGGCGCGGGACACGGAGGCCCCGGGCCACGCTAGGTTCACCGAGTGCACCTAACACGCGGCGAAGTATTAGAATAAGAACGCGCGAACGTAACTGCGCTACGTGCGCGGAATTGGTCCGCGATTTCGCGGATCGCGCCTTTTATATGACCTCGATCCCCTTCCCCCTCGTATATATATAGCGCGGGAGAGCGAGGTCGCGCGTCAGTCGTACGGAGGCTGCCGCGCAACGCACATTACAATGTTTACTATTATCCCGACACATAAGTACACATGAATATATAAAAGATCCCTTCTATGGTTAATTCTAAGTCTATGTCTCGATTTTGGGATCTACTTCCTATGCTATTTACTATTCTGTATCTATTTCGGAGTAAAACCACAGCAATGATAATCGTTTATTTTTGCCATCTTATCCTATAGTGTTACTTGTTAATTAATCATACAAACAATGACCAAACTATAAAAGTAATTAAATTTCTACAAATTTGTCCCTATTAAAGCGACCATGCTTAATCTGTTACTGGGTAACAATGTTCTATTTATCAATTTACTATATCTAGTCGAACCTATTTCTATACAAACTATAAACTATTTACAATGATTAGGGATCCGGAACACAATGTATATAAAATATGTTACTGGTTATTATTACCGTTCCTAGTTTTAATATGTGATTCATTGTAACGAATCTCTGCTTCTGTAACTGGGTTTAATAGTGGAGTCAACAAAATATGATCTGTTTTGATACTGTCACCAAGCAACCATCTGTTTCCAAAATCACCGGCATCACATTGAGCTGTAAAGATTGATAATAATTATTACAGGGATCTCAAAACCAATATCAATTTTATAAAAATAGTATAATTTAGAAAAACCTGTTACCTCTCAGTATAGAATTATTGAATATTGTTGCATCATGTGTGAAACCTTTTTTTTTTTTTTTTTTTTAACGTGTGGAAAAATCTTCAAAAGACCGTCACCCCGCCGGAGGGATGGCGAGGTGGTGTGTGGGACTTGTACCCACTAAAAAACCACACGGTATACCTCGAGGTGCCGTGGGCCGAAGTCCGGGGTTCGCACTTGGCACTCTACCCAGACTTCGGCGGATTGGCCTGTCCTGTAGATGTTGTAGGACAGGCCCCCTCTCTGGTTAGGGTGCTATGACTTGCACCCTACCTTCTCGTGGAGGCGCGTGGGTACACGCGCACGCCTCCAGGGGCCTGGTTGTGGGGTGATGCCTCCCTCAAGGCATGCACCCCGGCCCCCGTGGGGGGTAGACTCGGGACGGAGTTGGGCTCGTCCCGACGTCTACGCCTGGTCCTCCGGCGGCGGATCATTGGGGCGGAAGGATCATACTCCCGGTCCCTCTCCGCCGCCTCCTTCTGCGAAATAACTTCATCGCAGAAGGTGAGTACTGCCAGCCACGACTCCTCGCTCCTAACCATTGCCCGAACTATATTCGGCAGCGAGAGGTCGGCCCCCACTTCCGCGACCAAGACGCGGCGCTCCTCTGCGAATGCAGGGCACTCCTCCAGAACATGCTGCGCCGTGTCTTGGTCGCATCCGCACTGGTGACACATTGTCGTCGGCTCCCTCCGTGCGACATTACACAGGTACCGCCCGAAACACCCATGTCCGGACAGCACCTGCGTAAGTCGATAGGTCAGCGGCCATCGTCGCCTGCCCATCCATTCTTTGAGAACTGGACGGACAGCCTCGACGGTCCTCAGGCCGGCCGTAGGGTTGGCCAGCCTTTCTTCCCATTTCTCCCTGAGGACACGTCGGAGGTGGGATCTCCGTTCCCCGAGTTCCACTCCGGAGGGCTCCCTTCCTTGGGCCCTCTCATCCGCACGCCATTGGTATAATGACGCGCGGGATTCCGCTACTAGGTCCCAAGGCCGCTAACAGACACGCCGCCTCTCTCGAGACGGTGCGGTACCCTCTGATGACCCTTATGGCCATTGCTCGCTGCGGACGCAGGAGCAAGGCCATATTTTCCCTGGACAGGGCCCCATGCCATATAGGGGCCCCGTATAGGGCCATCGATTGTACCACACCCATGTAGAGGCGGCGACAATTGTCCCCCGGCCCCCCGATGTTAGGCAGCAGCCAGCTTAAAGCGCCAGCCGCCGCCATAAGACGGGGAGCCAGGTTCTTGAAGTGGAACCGGAAACCCCAGCGACTATCGAGGTCAAGCCCTAAGTACCTAATATGTGGCTTGACCTCGAGCCTATGACCGCTGACCACTATATGGGCTCCTGGTGGCGGCGCTCGTCGGGGCCCATGGAAACAAAGGACCTCTGACTTCTCGAGCGCCACCTGGAGCCCTAACCTCCTGATCCTGCCGACGACAAGTGCCACACTGGCGGTAGCAAGACGGGCAGCCTCCCTGTAGTCCCGCCCGCGGGACGTTACCAGCGTATCGTCCGCATAGCAGACTACGCTGGTCCCGTCGAGCAAGGCGCCCCGCAGATTCCAGTCATACCCGATGTTCCACAGGACCGGACCCAGAACCGATCCCTGTGGAACACCGCGCTGCATCTCCCTCTCAATCACCGCGCCGTTCCGCCCGATACAAACGACTTTTCGGTCCTGGAAGTAGGCCCCGACTACCTCCCGAAGGTAGGGAGGCACTTGGTGGTACTTTAGTGCCTCCCTAACACATTCAAAGGGAAGGGTGTTGAAGGCATTTTTGATGTCAAGAGACACCGCCAACAACACCCCTCCCCGGGAGACCACTTCGTCCGAGAGGGCACGAACCTGTGCGATCGCATCGATCGTGGATCGGCCCTCCCGGAACCCGAATTGATTCGGGGATAGGTCGGGACCCACCTGGACCAAGTGCTTGACGAGGCGGCGCACTATAATCCTCGCGAATAGTTTGCCGACCTCGTCAAGAAGGACTATCGGGCGGAACGCCGAGGGAGATACGGAATCCGCAGGGCGCCCCTCCTTGCGGAGCAGGACTACTCTGCCCGTCTTCCACTTCTTGGGAAATCGCCCCGACTCCATGCACTCATTGAAGAGGCTAAGGAGCCGGTCCCCAAGGGCACCTAGGGCCAAATACAGAGCCCGGCCGGGAACACCATTAGGCCCCGGAGCAGTTTTCTTGCCCCGGAGCTTGTCCACGGCCGTGGAGAACTCTTCCGTCGTTATCGACGGAACTCCAACTTCCCCTTGGATGCCGCCGCCGTCTTCCTCTATTTGACGGCTGCGCGGCACCATAGGAGGGGGTGTGAACTCTGACTGCTCAGGGAATAGAGCTGTCAACACCCCCTCCAATTGTTGGGGCTGGAGACTCTCTGCCGCGGGTGGCGCCCAGGGGCAAAGTTTGCCCCTTGCACTCCTATATGGGCGCCCCCACGGATCTCTTTTAAGAGTCTCCAGGAGTTCCTCCCTGGCTCTTTCTTTGGCCCTGCTGATGGCGAGCTGGAGCGCTTTCTTCTTCTCACTGTAGTGCGCCCGCAGCCCTGCTTCCACAGCGGCGTCACGGCCCCGCCTGAGTCGGCGGTGCCTGGTGTACTGGCGTCTAGCGGCCATGCTTTCTACTCGCTAGGCCGCTATCTCTTCAGACCACCAGTACACCTGACGCCTAGGAGGGGGGAGGCGGGCCCGGGGCATGGCCGCATCGCATATGCGGGTCATGGCATCCCCGAGCCAATTGGCCTCCTCCTCAACCTCCACAGGCCTGGATGGTATTTGAAACCAGGCCATAAATCATTAAATTAAAAGGAGTACGAAAGCGCGAAAAGGCACGTGAGTACGGAACACAACTCCGGAGCACACTTCTTTAACATCAATGCCGGTCAAGAGACAGTTACTCTCGTCGGACTCGCCGTTGCGTTACGGATATTTCCGGCATAGACAGTAGCAGTCCTGATCGTACTCCTATTGACAAACTAGCTCCAATACGGGAAATATTTGAAAAAATGATTGCCAAATTTCAGGAATATTTTACGCCAAGTGCTGAACTGACTTTAGATTAAAGCTTTTAGCATTTAGAGGACGCTGCCCATTTCGTCAATATATTCCGAGTAAACCCTCAAAATATGGCATAAAAGTATTCGCTCTTGTAGATGTTCATTACCCATATACACATAATTTGGAGATTTACGCCACCAGCCTGTGGGCCCCTTTCGATTGAGTAATGAACGAGCTAATGTAGTGATGAGAGTCCTCCAACCTATCTTTGGAAAAAACCGTAACGTCCATAGGTTTTCGTCTCTGCAGGTTGCTAAGCAACTTTTTGACAACAAACTACTGTTGGTA